AATCAATATACAGACAGACAAGCGCAAAGACGTAGAGAGAGATATATAGAGAGTCGGTACACAAGTCGGTGTAGATGAGTTACGAAAACAAAGATGTGCGCAAAGTCAGTTGTTGCGTGGTCGATCAGAGTAGAAGATGAGATCGGTAATTTATTCGCTGAATACTTCATCGCGCGAGATCCCTAGAGTAACAGGATCCGCAACGGTCGACGCCCACCGAAACGAATATCGAAACTATTTCCATTCAATTCCCGCAAGCACAATCTGTTTTACAATTCAATACATTGAATTATTCAAATCGGCAGTATTTTGCGTCCCGGGATAAAAAAAAATATAAAGAATCGCCGCTATTATCGCAAATTGAATTTACGACAAACTCTTTTACACTTGCCGATATTTTCGACTGAAATTTTCCGACAATTTATCTCGCGCAGAATTTAAAAATTAAAGCGAGACCAGTTTCAGTCGGCATTTCGACGGGCGTCTGAGTAGAAAGCAACGAAGACACGTGGGATACATAATGGTAATGGCATCGTTTTTGTCGTTAGCCGTCCTTGTGCATCAGATACGTCAACGAAAGACATCATCATGAGAAGATCATGTGCGTATAGTAGTCATAGTGTGGTGTAAATTGAGACAGAGACAGAGAGAGAGAGAGAAAGAGAGAGAGAGAGAGAGAGAGAAAAAGACAAAGAGAGAGAGAGAGAGAGTTAGCAGAGATATATTGTTGGATGTAACAGAGATCGCTGCCGATCGATCAACGGGGATCGTCGACTGCGACGTCCTGTTGCGTCCTGTTTTGTTTCTCACGTATGTCACTAATGCGGATCAATGATGCAGATCGCGTCTGATCTGGAATCACGGACCACCCCGAGGGTGAGTCGTGTCTCCGATGGATTAGTCGTAGCTGTCGTACGAAGAGATTTATTCGCGAAGCGGCATGTACCGCGCGACAGATCGGGCGCATCCTATCGCAAAGCTGATCCGGGACTCGCTTCGCAGTCCAAATCCATCGCGATGCACGTGTTCCTCGATACAATCTGAGCTTTCTAAAACTGGCGGTCAATCGGAAAAACAGTATGCGTTGTCGTCCGCGAGTGTTTCAAAACGGATTCGCACGAACGACAGGGAATATCGAGCGCAATAACGGGAAGGAAGAGGAAAAGAAAGGCGGGACGATAATCGGTTCGGATCGTGAAAGAGCGAGGTAGAGAGAGAGAGAGAGAGAGAGAGAGAAAGAGAGAGAGAGACAGACAGATAGAAAGAGATTGATTCAGCAACAAGCCAAGCGTGGAAAAGATTTAGTATCGCTTTATTGACCAAGTCGATCATTGTGCAGCTTCTTT